TGTAATTAGGATTATGGCTCAGTAGCAGGTTGCTTGCCTAGCATGTGCAAGGTCCTGGGTTCAATCCTCAGCACCAAGAGGAGGGGAGATAAAATGGTCAAGGAAGGCTGGGGTTGTAGCTCAGTGATTGAGCACTTGCTTTGCATGAGTGAGGCACTGGGTTCAATGCTCAGCATATTAAAAATAAATAAATAAATAAAGGAAAATTTAAAAAGGGTCAAGGAGTTGAGGGTAAAGTGGAATTATGATGGAACATGAAACTTCAGCTAGGTAAGGATATATACCAGTGAGGGAAAATGAAATATGCTTTTCCCAAAAATGGGTGCTTTCTTCAAGACCTTACCCAACTTGTCTTCACCTCTCTGGGCTTTTGGTAACATGGCTTTCCCTTCCTCATACTTTGTTACTTTCAATATAGTATTTATTCTCATGATAAATATTTTATCTGTTCACCAGAATTGAAGTCCCATTGAAGGCAAGTCCCATTGCCATAGTCTATGCATAGAACTGTGCCTGGCATGGACTAGCCCCCAACCCTATCCAATCCTGGTCAGCTTACTCCTCAACCACACACCCCCCGACATGTCCCATACTTCTGCATCAAAATGTCTCAAATCTCAAATAACATTCCTCTAATACCTAAGTGCCTAACTCTTTAGACTGAGAGGCTTCAGGGAAGCAAAAATCCTGAAAAGTTTGGATTCTAATGCTCCAGAGCAAGGTTGGAAGCAAGATTTAAAAGGATATGCATCTGCCAAATTGCTTTTGATGACTGAGGGAGCCCCAGGCCCTAAGGGCTTCATTTACCCCAGGATCCCAAAAGGTTATCTATATTACATTGTCAGGAAAGCTCTAGGTCCTTCAATGGTGGGCCAGAACAGAAAACTAATGGAATCATAACTAAAAAGTGTTGCAGGGGATGAGGGTTGTCCTGCACATAGCTTGGTGTTATTCCATTTTTGTAAAATAATATTGTATGTATAAATTAAAAACACATACACATGCTGTGCACACTGACCTTATGTGTAATAAAGCAAAAGGTTTTTAACGTTTAAAAGGATAATGAAACTTACACCAAAGTATGTGCTTTTTAAAAAACTTGAACTTCTATTTAAAAAGCATTGCTAGTTAATTTAAACCCCTGTAAAAAACACAAGTGGCTTAAGAAGTCATTTCCTTTTTCCAATGAAGATATATATGCATAGATTTGCACAGCACCGTACACAGTTCCTTAAGGATAAAACAGTGCCTGTGAGTGGAAACTGAAGCTGTGAAGGAGGGTAGGGGTGGGGAGGAGCCATGAAGAAAAACCCAATTAAAAAAAAGGATAGTCTGGGTGGATGCCCCTCTTGGTCTTACAGTACTATGCATAACTCCCACAAATTCAAACTGTGTGTTCAAACTGGACTCTACAATCTTTTTCTTTCTTTCCCCCAGTGGCCATCATTAGCACAGGAGCTTAGAAAATTCAGACTGAATGGCCAAAGAGAAGATAAAAGAGAAATGTTAAACTGGACAGTGCAATAAATAGCTTCCTCAGGATGCTGCCCCTTAAAGGGGAACTCAATTTTTTCCTTGTGCTGGACATAAACAGCCTCTATGGCCAGCAGGTGGTGCTAACAGCTTTCCAATCTTTAGCCAAGTCTCATGTGAGCATTATTGAAAGGGCTGAAGAAAGCAATGAACCAGAGTAACCTGCTGGCAGAGTGGTGCAAAATCCCAACAGCCAGTTTTTTGCGCAACCCACAGCTCACCTGAGGAGGTGAGAGGTGAGGGGGCAGGGAGGAGGAGGCTTTTGCAAAAGCAATGGCAAAAGAGCCAGAGAGAGAATGCAGCAACAGCAGGGGAATATGGACCGAACCAGGAGAAAGCAGGGAGAGGTTTGTTCTCTTCTAACAGCGGTGTCGTGCACAGGCCATCCAGTTGCCAAGCAAGGCCTCAGGCGGAGCTCCAGAGGATCCCGGACACTAGGACCCACTGGCCTCAAGAGCGTGGAACCTTCTCCAATTCACTTTGCCTCGCTGAGGATGCTTAATTCTGCAGCCACAGGCTTCCCACTTGCAAACCCAGCAGTTTTGTAATGCAGATTACATTTCCAAATAAAGGGGTAAGTTTTACTAGCTGCTCAGAAACCACTAGTGACAAGCAACAGTGGCACTGCTTCCCAATGCAGAAAGACTGTTTTCTGACAGTTTTAAGCCCTGCACCTCTAATGAGAGGACTTCCAACGTTTGGGACCTCAGGATAAAGGTGTAAGTCAGAGCAGGATGCAAACGAACCCATGTACACTGAGCCCCGTTGTAGGTTAAATATTAGGCCAAGTAAAAGACTTAACTCCAGATATTTTCATATATAGTGCTATTTAAGGGATAAAATGAAGTGATTTAGTATTTTTATTAAGCCAATCCTCCATTTACACACTTTAAAAACTTATAGGTCACAGTGGCACAAGCCTATAATTCTAGTAATCCCACCAGCTACTGGGGAAAATGAGGCAAAAGGACCATAAAATTTTAAGGCATTCTGGGATAATTGGTGAGACCCTGTTTCAAAAGAAAATCAGGGCAAGGGATGATGACATCCGGTGGAAGAGTACTTGCTTAACATGAACAGGGCACTGGGTTCAGCTCCCAGCACTGCAAACCACCACCCAAAACTCAACCTTAACAAGATACTGCAATTTGAAGATTAAAAAAAAAAGCAATGGATGGATTTTAAATATTCTCCAAAAAAAAAAAAGGAACCAGAGTTGCTTGGGAAAATAGGGTTAGGCAGGGGAAATGCAAAACTAGCCTGAAACATCCTACAGTACTACAAAGAAGGAGTTCCAAAAATGTAATGCCCAAAGCCCTGCGTTTGGATCCCTAGCAAGGAAGAAAAGAAGCCATGGGTCAACTTGAAAATGCTCTCATGGTTAAAGCTGGGATAATCTGAGCAACAAATGATAGCACTGACATAATTCCATAGTGATATCACTGAAAAAAATTGATGAGTGACATCCTCCTTACAGAATTCTAATTGATAAATGCAAAAGGAATAGAACTATTGAATTAGGCAAACACTACAGTAATATTTGTTGCAGGCAGTAGCAATTCATAGATGCCAGAATTAGTTGGTCAAAGAATTGAGTTTCAAAGTATATCCCAAGTTACTTATTAATTACAAAGGGAAAATTAATAACTTTACAGCAGAGAAATCTGGCAGACATCACTTTAATGAAGTGATTGCAGTTATCAGTAATAGTTCACGTAATCTGATATAATTCACTGAAAAGGGCACAGTACTTTTGTAAAATAACCACCTCAATCTAATAACAAGAAATCATAAGGTAAATATAGTTTGGAGGGCATTTTATAAGATAACTAACTGGCTAGTATTCTCCAAGTATGAAGACTAAAGAATTGTCATGGGCTATAGGAGACTAAAGACAACTAAATGCAATGTGGAATCCTAGATTGGACTGCATGCAGAACCAGGAAAGGGGGGTGGAGGTTAGTGTGACAACTGGCACAATTCAAGTAAGATCTGTAGATCATTTAGTAGTACTGGTTTTGATGATTTTACTATGGTTATAAGGATGTTGACACTTGGGAAGCTTAGTGAAGAACTTCCCATATTATTTTTCCCATGAGAACTTCCCACGTTTCTCCCAAAAAAATCTGATTATTTCAAAGTAAGTTTTTTTTTTTAAATGGAACATATTGGGAGAAGACAGAGCCAATCAAATATAGTTAAAATAAAATTGAGCACATATAAAATTTATGTATTTTGTTCATATTAGAAGTCTTAAAAATCTTTGAATTTTTGACACTGATGGTATAAGATTCAATTTCCCCCTCATCTTTAACAGCTATCTTCAGCGTTACAAAATTCACAAAAAGCAGCAAATTCTGAACAAAGCCTTAAGAATATAGTCAAAAGTTAAAAATTCCCAGTGGCAAGTCTTCAGTAAACAACCAGTTCAACTGCATTTTGGAGCCTTCACTAAACCAACTTTGAAATCAACCTCCCAAGAGTCAACAGTCTAATTTCCTTACACTACAAAAATAGAAAAGGAAAAGTCAATGTGGCTTTTGGGTTCTTTTTAATACATAAGTACACGATCCTGAACCCCTCACACTCGGGAGGGTGAAATGAGTGATTTTGTTAGGAGGTATAGTTCCTTTCCATCTATTCCCAAAGCCATGAGTATTTTCTATATGTAATATGAAAACAAAGACTGGGAAGCAACTACTGAACTTTTTAACATATCAAATTACCAAAAAAAAAAAAGAAAGAAAAAAGTCTTGAATATATATATCCAACTTGAATTCAACATAGGAAAATCTAAGTAAAATTGCTTTTAAATTTGCTTTTCTCTGGATTATTTTCCTGCTTGAAAGCAAAATACTAAACAAGCCCAAGGGAACCCTGTAGAAGTTCCACAAGTTAAGGCTAAAAGTGGAAATAGTGAGTGTTGCTCTCCCCTCTACCGCCCCATTCTGAGGATTCAACATACCCAGGGACTTGGTCAGGGGCTTACCACTAAGCTATACCCTCAGCCCTTTATTTCAAGATAGTGCCTTGCTGAGTTGCTGACACTGATATCAAATCTGTGATCCCCCTGCCTCAGCCTCCTCCCCAGTCACTGGGATTATAAGCATGCAGCACACACCCAGTCCATTTCTTACTGGGAAATCTGGCAAATTCAAACTAATGAAAAACCACAAGGATTTCCGTAATTTTGGGGCGGGGAGAAATGTTACTTCAAAAAGCTTGACAGGAATATCCAGAATATTATACTGTGTCCCTGATATAAAAAGTTGTTGCCTGCTAAGTGTTAACTACAATGTTAATTAGAAATCAGCATTGACTTACTTCATTTGCACCCTTGACTTAGCAGCCTGGGCTATGTAGAAGAGGATAAGTGAGTCACTTAAGGGTAAAGTGTTGACAAGTATTAAGACCCATTTTCAGAGTTCTCTTAGTACAGATGTTTTTAAACAAACTACCTCTCCAACTTTTTTTTTTTTTTTTTTTTTTTGGTGTTGGGGATCTAACCCAGGGTTCAGATATGCCAGCAAGTGCTCTCCTCTTCAGCCACATTCCCAACCCCTGAATTGGGGCATATTAAGAGCTAAAAATCTTTAAGGCACAGAAGCCCTTCAAATCTAGGTGAAAAAACAAGAATGAATTAAGTGTTGTATGGTTATAAGTCACTCCAAAGACTTGGGTTCACTGGAATTTCATTTTCTTAGGACACGAATCCATGTGGAATACTGTCTAAATAAAACATACTTTGGTTTTCTTTTGCCCCCAGAGATGCTCTACCACTAAGTTATATCCCCAGTCCTATTTATTCATTCATTTATTTAAGTACTGGGGATTAACTCAGGGGCACTTTACCACTCAGCTACATCCCTAGCCCTTTCAAGAAATGTCTCCATAAGTCACTAAGACTGACTCAAACTCGAACTTGTGACCCTCCTCCTCAGAATCCCAAGTTACTGCAATTACAGGCATGCACCACCAAGCAATAACCCATATTTTAGATTAAACACTTATATCCTTGGATACTGGGTGCTACCACCTCCCCTACTATCACTGGCCAGAGTTTTGTGGAGTTAGTAGTGCCTGGCACCTAATAAACACAGGTATCTGTTGAATGAATGATTTACCAGTGGCTCTATCTTCTCTGGAAAGTATCCAGAAATAAAGCATTATGAATATTGACCCACCATGCTTTGCAGGGGTCATGGTTATATAGCCCTAGGTACAAAGCAAACCTGAACTATTTCCTCTCAACACAAACTTTCTAAATTAGTTGCTATCTTGCCTCTTAGAACTCCTTATACTCTAAATCTTTCACAACATATAGCAGATTCAAATAATACTAAATGGTACTAAAAGTGATGCTCAACAGGATCTCACGTTTATTGAGAAGTGATTAATGGTAAAAAGAAAGGCAATGCCCTTTCCTCATTGGCTGAACAAGAAACTGAAGAAACATTCACTACACGTTTTACAATATTTTTCTCTTCCAAAATGCATTTCTGAAAACGAGTTTTTACCACTGTTCTTAGCTTTGAAATCAAATTAATCCTGACTTAATCAGTATAATGTACAAGAACAGAACATTTCTTAGGACTCCTAGTACTTTACTTTGAGTAACAAAGGGTCAGAGAAAATGAACCACCCTTAAAGACACAACCTTGGGTAACACTGTTAAATTTCTCCTAGACAAAAATTCTTCATAAAAAATGTTCTTCCAGTTCGGAAGGGAAAAATCAAATTCCCACTTTCTGGGGTGGACACCCAACCTTTGCAACTCAAGTGTTCTCCAAGTGCAAATGTCAAAATGGGAGGAGGAAAGGGTTTAAAAATTAGAGAAAACTGTATGCACTTACGGACTTAAAAATCCGAAAAACATAGTAAAAGACAAAAAAAACCAAAGCATTATGCTCTGAAATCACAACCGAAGCCAAAATAAAAGGGACATTTTTCACCTAAACTACCTAGAGGAATTTTTTGTTTACTTTTTTCTTTTTTTTCTTTTTTTTTTTTTTTCATTTTCCAGTTAAGTCCTATGTCTTTTGTGAAATTCCAATACTTAAACTGCAAGTCTGCAATCGTCTCTGAAGTCAATGAAATTAAGAAAAAAGTCCTAATTCTCTTGAAGGTCAATTTTCCTCTTAGGATATGCAGATGCAACCGTTGCTGCAGTCTGTTCAGAACTGCTTTCTATTTTCCACGACCTTGACGTTCCTATGAAGAAAAGAATGAAATGATTAGTTAAAACTTATCTGAACATACTTTAAAGTTTTTTAAAGTTTAAGTTATTTATGCTAAATAGAATATTTCCACAAATAAACTGGCTTTTATTTCTTTTCTGTACAAAGAATTGAACCCAGGGCACTTAAACCACTGAGCCACATCCCCAACCCTTTTTGAGACAGGGTCTCCCGAAGTTGCCTAGGCTGTCCTTGAATTTGTGATTCTCCTGCCTCAGCCTCCAGAGATGCTGGGATTACAGGCATGTGTTACCACATCCAGCAAACTGACTTATATTTCTTCGATTTTAAACAGATAGCAACACCCAAGCATCCCAATTAATGAAAATTACTTTTCTTAGACTTTAAAGTCCATTTTTTAAAAACTCTTTTGTTGTTGTTGGACACAATACCTTTATTTTACTTATTTATTTTTATGTGGTGCCGAGGATTGAACCCAGGGCCTCGCACACACTAGGCGAGCTCTCTACCACTGAGCCAAAACCCCAGCCCGTTAAAGTCCTATTTTATGACTAAACAGATTCACTTTATTATTATACTTATTTTAGGCTAATTATTAGCCTAACTTCATTCTAATGTAACTTCATCCTAATGGAAGTAACTTCAAACATACATCAGTGGTCTGAAAAGGGAAGCACCATTCATAGGACACACAAAATTCTATGCGTACTAGAGTCAGATCAACCTACATGGAAATCCTACACTAATCCCAGGGATCTGAACATATTCATGAACTACAAATTTCTTTTCTATAAAATGTAAAGATAAATACCTCACAGGGTTGTGAAACATTGATGAACAGACTATAGAAAGATCTAACTCCATGGTAGGACAAGAAAACCACCCTCATTCCCCCAGGGAGAGCTTAAATAAATTCACTTAGGGATGGGTTTTTTAAAAACTATTATATTTGCGTTTTCCTTGAAAAAAAAAAAACTAAAGGTTTATTTTATTACTCAGAGTATGAGTCCTTCATAAATTTCATCTAAAAGCCATCTATTATACACATTACATCACAATACACTTTTTAAAAAATGAATGGGGCTGGGATTGTAGTTCAGTGGTAGAGCACTTGCCTAGCATGTGTGAGGAACAGGGTTAAAAAAAAATAAAGTTATTATATCCATCTACAACAACAATAACAAAAACAAAAATGAATTGGGAAAAAAAGCCCACAAGCGGAAAATAGGAGTTCACAGACCTTAATTTATACATTTGCTCCCATTTACCCACAGGTAACTATGATTTGACTGTCAGTTGCTATTCTTTTTTGGTAAAAATCATACTATCACTTAAGTTTCCAAGATCTAGGCACTGTACATATATATTACAGCAATCTTCATAATGACCCTACTTGGACTGTTATTTTTCCTGTTTATTTTTAGCGTGTGCAGGAGCAATGCTAGGGAATAAACCCAGGAGTACCTTACCGCTAAGCTATATCCCCAGTCCTTTCCTTTTTTTTTTTTGTTGTTTTGGTACTAGGAATTTAACCCAGGGGTATTCAACCGCTAAACCACAACACCAGCTGTTTTTTACATTTTATTTTGAGGCAGGATCTCACTAAATTGCTTAGGGCCTCGCTAAGTCATTAAAGCTGGCCTTGAATTTGCAATCCTCCATCCTTAGTCTCCTGGGTTGCCAGGTGGTGTGTAGACCAACAAACCTAACACTTTTACCTATTTTTTTGTGGGGGGAGAGGGCACGGTTGTAGATGAACGCAATACCTTTAGTGGTGCTGAGGATCAAAGCCAGTGCTTCACATATGCTAGGCAAGCGCTCTACCACTGAGCCACAACTGCAGCCCACTTTTCATTTTTTTGAGAGAGGAAGGGTCTTGCTAAAATTGACGGGGCTGATCTCAATCTTGTAATCTTCCTGCCTCACTCTTCCAAATCCTTGGGATTACAGGCCTGTGCCACCACACCCTGCTTATTTTTTATTTCAGAGACAAGAAAATCTAAAACTCAAAGAAATTACTTGCCCACGGACAAAAAGGAACCAAAATCCATAACCAGGACAACAAGGCTACCAAATCCATGATCTTTCTACATCATTATTACAAATATTTACACAAAAATTAACAAAGAATGAATCTGTAATGAACTGACTACTACTCTTATTCTATGAATGTTAAAAGGGGGGAAAAAGCAAATTGCTTATTCAGAAAAATAAGTTATGTTTCTGTGATGTCCCACACTTCACATAACCAGATTTCAGAGAAACCAAGATCCGGGATATTATTTTTTAAAGAAATTGCTTTGAAAATATTAATAATTCACTCATATTCTCCAGTCTGTGGGAATCAATTATCATTCAAATAAGAAAATTAATTCAGTCCCACCTAAAAGAATTGAAAAGTTTTGATGTTCCTGGGCAGGAGTATTCATTTTTTCCCCTTTCCTTCCCATATATTCCCCAAGTTTCAATAAAGGATATATTATTTATAATAGGAAAATCTGTTATAAAACAATCTTTGGAGTTGGTCAAACTTTCAACAGCACTTTACTTAAAATAAAATTCATCTATCCTGGGAGTTCATAACCCACTTGAATCAAAGTGTGAAATATGATATATCAAGAACTATGTAATGTTTTGAACAACCAACAATAAAAAAAAAAAGAAAAAAAATACATTCTCTTTGCACTGACTAATAAGAAATGTGATTTTTTTTGCAAAAAGAAAAAAAAACCAAATTCATCTACCTAGTTTTATCTTTCATAAACTACAAAGACCTACCACTTACCTAGCCTCTTCTATTACTGCCAACATCTATACACCTTAGGCTTCAAGTATGTTTCTTCATTAAGTCACATCATTATATTTTATTTTGGGGGACTAGGAATTGAACCCCGGGTACTCTTAACCACTGAGCCACATCCCAAGCCCTTTTTATTTTTTGAGACAGGGTCTCACTAAGCTTAGCTTAGGGCCTTACTAAATTGCTGAGGCTGGCTCTGAACTTGCAATCCTCCTGCCTCAGCCTCCAGGGTTTACTGGCATGTGCCATCACATCCAGCTCATTCCTATTGCTTTTTAAAAATGTGGTGATAATGGCCATAATGGTTATGGCTCAGTGGTAGAGCACTCACCTAGCATGTGCGACATCCTGGGTTCAATCCTCAGAACCACAAAAAAATAAAAATAAAGCTATTGTGGCCAACTACAACTAAAAAATATATATTTTTTAAAAATGTGGTGATACTGCAGATTGACCCCAAAGCCTTGAACATGATAGGAAAGTGCCCTAGCCTTGAATCTATGATTCTCCTGCCTCAGCTTCCAGAGTAGCTGAGATTGCAGGCATGGAACACCTGACAATTCCTCAATTCTTACTGCTTTTATTTTCTTTAAGCAAAGACTGTCTTGCTTCTCTCCTTATGTTCTTCAAGGTAAAGTTTCAATCTCTCTTTTCCCTTCTTTTGAGACTTCTTTAAACACTGCAGCTTTCAACATCCTCCTAAATCTGCACCCCCAACTGAAACTGAAATTGCACTGCCATGTTTCTTGGGAGGTAGCCACAACTACATCAAAAACTCCCAGGAAGGGGCCAAGAGTTTAGTTCAGTGGTACCTACCACTTGCCTACCATGTATAAAGTCATAAATTCAATCCTTGGCACCACAAAAAAGCCTCCTAGAAAGCAAAAACCTGGTCTACAAGAAAACCTCACTAACTACTTTTAAGTTTAGCAGAAGATTTTATTGTTAAAGAAAATTGTGCCTTGTGCTGGGGGTGTGGCTCAGTGGTAAAACATTTGCCTGGCATGCATGAGGCCCTGGGTTTGATCCCCAGAATAATGAAAAACAAAATTCAGAGCAGTGACTCAGTGGCAGAGTACTTACCTATAGCATGTAAGGCCGAGTTCAATTCTCAGCACTGCCCCCCCATCCATACACACACCTTGAAATTGTGCCCTTTTTATTATTTTTTATTGGGTCTTTCTTCTTCATTCTTTTTGGTACCTTTATTTTTTTTTTTTAATGTGGTGCTGAGGTTTGAACTCAGTGCCTCACACATGCAAGGCAAGCACTCTACCACTGAGCCACAACCCCGGTCCCGAAATTGTGCCTTCTTAATTCAATCTCAAAAATATAGATTAAATTTGCCCCAAATTTTAATGCTAAATTAGAAAACCTAAAACTTTATAATACTGTCTTACCAAGTCCTAAGAAATACATTAAGTTCACCAGTATGCTTTTAATAACAGCATTTAAAATACTTAGTCTCAAGACAGACTTATTGGTACATGTCTATAATCCCAAGCTACTCTGGAGGCTGAGGAAAGAGGATCACAAATTTGAGATCACTCTAGGCAACTTAGAAAGACCATCTCAAAATAAAATATAAAAGGGGCTGGGAATGTAGCTCAGTGATAGTCCCCTAGGTTCAATCCCCAGTACTGCAAAAATATAAAAAGCAAAGTAATTAACATTCATCTCCTTGAAGAATGTAAGGATAGTTAAGCATTCACATCAAATCATCTTGAAAAGTAAATGAATTTAGAATCAGTAAAATAACTGTAAACTTTTCACAATATATTAAGAATGAAATAAGATTTTATTTTAATATTTATTTTTTAGTTTTCGGCGGACATAACATCTTTCTTTGTATGTGGTGCTAAGGATTGAACCCGGGCCGCACGCATGCCAGGCGAGCGTGCTACCGCTTGAGCCACATCCCCAACCCCAAGATTTTTTTAAATATTGTTTTTATTTTTAAGAAAAGCAGATTGAGGGGCTGGGGTTGTAACTCAGCTGTACAATACTTGACTAGCACGTGCAAGACACCACATAAAAATAAATAAAATATAGACATTGTGTTCATCTACAACTAAAAAAACAATATTAAAAAAAGCAAACTGAAAAGAGCAAGAATCAATAGGATCCTATTCGAGGGGCCTTCCACTGGCTAAATCTATAATGTAAGTAAACACTTATCACAGTATTATCTGAATCAGTCAAGAATTATCAAT